AGCTTACAAACAGATCTTTTAAATGACTTTCCAGTTTTGTAAACCCAAGCTTGTGCAACAAATGACAGCATGCACGAAGTCGCACAAAGAAAAGAATACACAGTTTTCTTGCCATTATATTTTAAATCAAAAAGAAATTACTGGAAAGGTAGAGCTCCTTCCTTTCTGTGGAGTTTTGTTTTTCTTTCTAATGAGAAACAATGATCTCCATGGAGCTGGAAACCTTTACTACTGCAGAAATATCTTTGCCTATAAGAGATAAAAGAGAATGAGATCATATAGTGGAGAGCTGCCTCTCCATGACACTTAACCTCCTATTCCTGTTATTGTCTTTTTAAGGTGTCCTAATGTGAAGTTAGTGCTCCCTCCTGTCATCCTTGCAAGTGTAGAAACTGTCTCTTCTGTTGCTAACAAATACAGCCCAACGCTGTCTTCAGAAGCATTTGTCAGACAGGGAGGCACACTATGGAGTTCAGCTGTTGTCTTTCAGTGTGTTTGCTATGAACAAGTATGGTGTTTCAGTGAGCATTAGGTTATACTCGCCAGCCTGCATATAGTGTGTGTGCAAATTGTTTTTTCATGATATCCCTTGATACGGCTCTTTCTGTTGAAAATCCTAGATGTAAAGGGGATGCAGTGTATTAAATAGGGCTGACATGGTTCCTGAGAAGTATTTTTCGTGTGTTTCCTTGTTACTTAGAGCAGTTATTCTGTGGGAGTTTTGTGCAAGATCAGGATATGTCTACATGAGTTTACAGTTGCCACTAAAAGTGTCGACAGATTCTTGCAAGTGTAGGATGTTCACTGGACATAGGAGGTCTGACACTACAACTTCCCTCATTTCAGCTCGAATGTAACGATATTGTCCTCTTCTGGCGAATACAGCGAATGCTGGCAATTACAGCAAATACACTGAGGCAGCAGCTTACTAACACGGAAGGTAAGGCTCATAGTGAGTTGAGGTGTTTGAAACAAAAAAATTGTTCAGAAATTTCCTAGTGTTCTTCTAGCTATGTGTTCCTTTCATGCTTAGCATGGCTGGCTGATTTTTGTGTCCTGGTTAGGTAATTAAAAGATGTAGAGTAAATAGAATTTGGCTTCCTATTTACATTGAATGATTTAGTGTAAATAGAATGTCAAATACTTAAGATGCTCTCCAGTTTAAGGTATTTTCAGCTTACATGATGCCGGTTGTCAATACCTTTTTCAAAGCAGCAAGAATTTCAATAAATAGTGACTATATTCTTTTTTTTTTTTCTCAGGTCAGTCTGGCTGTAGATTTTAATTTAAAAGTGTTTGATATAAAAAAAGATCCTAATGGATTTTTTTTTTTAAAGCCATGCAAAATGTGCCATGTAATATCTAGATAAGCTTATGCAACAGATGCTTATAAAGCATCATTTATGCAGCAATCTGCTAGTGCCATGGTACAACTACTAATAACAATCTTTGATTTGTAAAATAGTTTTCAGCCTGCCTCTTGAAAAAGGTGCAAGTAAAAGTTTGAACCTTGTCATGTGATGCAAGTTACTCTCCATGGAGAAGAAATTGCCCCTAACTGTAGAAAGCTACATTCTCTCTCTTCAAATCACCTACCTCATTGACAATTGCTGGGCTGAAAATTAGGAAGTTTCATTAGGAGGTATTCCCTCTAAGTATGAAGGGCAAGGATATGAATGTGAAGATGGACATAATACTGCTTTAAAAAGCTTTTGATTCCTCTTAGCCTTGTATATACAGCAACACCCCTCTGTGTGACATCAGTCCTTCAATACTACACTTTGCTGTCATTGTTAACTTCTTTTTCCATCTTTCACCTTTAATTGACTTGGCCTTGATTCATCGGATGAGGGTGATGTTGATAGTGAAAGTGTAACTGTTAAGAAGGAGGCAGCAAGGATGCTTACAATGAAAGACTTGTTGGACACTCAAATAAGAAACTGCTGAATTTAATAGACAGCAAAGCAGTCTACAAATATTTTTTTCTCCTCCTAAAAAAGTCATCCAATAATAATTTAATTCAGAGATAAAATATCCTTTGAAATTTAAACATCTTTCTCAAAGAATTTCCTGTCTTAATGGCCCAAACAAGGGGCTTATGTGTTCAGAAGTTTGCCTTTTCTCCAACCAGATTAGTTAGTCTGGTAACATATACTACCTCTCCCACAGACCTTCCCAAAATTTTGTCCTTAAGTCATTACAGGTGCAAAAGTGTTACCACTCACTTTTTTTTTTTTTGTTGGCTTGTTGTTTTGTTTTCTGGGTTTTTTTTTACAGTAAGGCGCTTGGAGAAGAATGTAAAGGAAGTTCTTGAAGATTTTGCTGAGGATAATGAAAAAAAGGTGAAGCTCTTAACTGGCAAGAGGGTCCAGCTTGCAGAGGATCTCAGTAAGTACCTACTCTGTAGTGGTTTGGAACTAGCTTGAAATGAACCAAATTCTGACCGCTGACTTTGAGAACATTTGATGTGGTATGGGTTGTTCATGTGCTAGCATTTAATTAATATCACAAATGGAATTTTTCTTAAATATGGTCAGATCTTACTGATTCAAAGGTGGACATGGGTAGTAGAGTGTGATGAAACAACGTAATATATGCTAGATGTAAGTTCACTGATATAAATATATTGCATCTGTATATTGGAAAAATGTACTTAGAGTAATATTGTAAAGGGAAATCCTTGTTTTTCTAGTACAACGTGGTTAATCCACACCTCAGAGACCTGTCTCTGGGTGATTCAGTCTTGACTGTGTAAGGAGGTTTTGATGCCATCTTTTTTTAATTATTGGGTGAAATATGCAGCCTTCCTGCAGGTAATACTGACTTTTAATACAGATCAGCTGGAAATGCCCGTGACTTACTGGCCAGCTCGTTTTAGGCCATGTGTACAGAAACAAAACCTATCAGACATGAAGATCTGATATGTTATGTTTATTAAGCTGAGATGAGCATTATATTAAGAGATTTAACAAGGAAGAAAATCTAGCAGATTTATCCTCCCAGAAGGATTACAGTAGTTTAATGCTTTGAGTCACTCGGAAAGCATTAAGGGGTTTTATGGTTAATATAGTAAGATTTTTAAACAGTGAAAGCCTTTAAGGGGACAATCGAGGCTGAGGGGATATTCCTGTTGTCTACCTGCACATGCAGTAAGGTTTAGACTGACTTTTAGCTGATGGGACTTGCTCTTGCACATAGATTGTTCAGTTTTTGGCTCATTCTGCTGTTACTCTGTGAAACTTCCACTTAAACCCAAGCTGTACACCTGGACTGGTAGGGGGGGGAAAAAACAATGCTGTGCAAAAGGGAACAGAAAAAAAGCTTGTGATAAATAAAGTTCATCTAGATATATAAATATCTGCATCTTGAGATCACAGGTGACCTTCCTCCTTATACCTTTATTTTGTGTTTGATGGAGCAACTAATCTTCTCTTAAAATACGACTTTAGATATTTCATTCAGAATAAATGAATTCTGTGGTCAGTGTTTCTTCTTTTATTAAGCAATGGCTTGATATCCAGGGTTCAGC